GTGGGGTGTGGAGAGGTGGGAGTCAGGACAGGTAATGAGCAAATGGCTGTCCGGTGCCTAGTTGTCAGCCAGATCAAATCATAATACCCTGCTACTAAGTCCCTCTGTCTTTTCCTCTTCTATGTTGTGAAATTTCTTGTGGTCCTTCTAACTGCATGTCTTTTTGTTGTTTTCAAACCAGCTATTATCTTCTAAGAGGCATTTTATTTTGGGGGGGCAACCCATATAACTGCAAATCTACTACTTCTGTGATCAAGATTCCAAGGAAGCATTCAAACTGCTTCATGGATATTGTAAAATTATCAAGTGCTCTGAATCAAATTAGGTAGCTACCTAGTAAAGAGACAGAACAAGAGAACATTTCCATTGCAGTACCTGTACTGTACCTGTACTGCACTAACAACTTTTAAATGAAAACAGAACTCATTAGTGTCATTGCATTGAGAAAAGTGACCAGCTCATTCAAGTGTAAGAAGGACTAGAGGTAGGAAATTTGCTAACATCAGTTCAACTGCTCCTATTATTACGAAAGTTGTCCAAGTCTTGGAAAAGATTTGATAAAGACACAGGCTCAAGCAAATTTCTCGGAGATACTTGCCGTTCCGGAAATGAAAAAGAGTAGAAAATGTTTGAGAAGCCTGTTAGGGACACATAAAGTGTGAAGAAAATGGGTTTAGATTTCTCAAAGCAGCAGGATTCATTCTGGGAAAATAAGCCATACTAAGGAAATAGCTTGTACCACATTAGCAGGGTAACAAATTCTGCCTTATTAGAAACTATCTGGAAGATTCAAAATGATATGAAAACTAGACATGCAAAGAAAGATATTCAGAATATTAAATTTATATGATTTAAATTCAGTGTTTCCTAACATTTTGAAGTAATGTGGCAAAGAAAACAAAAAGAATAAAAATTAATTACACTCAATACCATCACTATAAATCCAGTTAGTAAGAAAAAAAAAAAAAAAAAAAAGGAAATAGCTGTTGATAAGAAGAAATTCATCACAATTGGAATTACTGAAACCTGGTGGGGCTATTTTCATGTCTGGAATGCTAAAATCTTAAAACCTGTTTGGGAAAGACAATGTAAGAAAAGAGGTTAGAAGGGTGTTTGTGTTAGAAGACAATTACTTGCTGTAGAGTTACTGATAACTCAAAACAGCAGGACCTTGAACATATATGGATCAATGAACTCACTAACAAAACCCAAGAGGGGTTTCAGAGGAGAAGCTGCTGCAGATCACCCAACCAAACTAGAAAATCGGATAAATTAATCCTTACATCCTACTCAGTAAAATGGAGAAAGAGCTATCTTTTTTGGAAGTTCCTGCTTGGCAGACACATGCTGCAGGCTTCAATCAACTACCAGTAAATAATCATTAGAGCTCCTGATATAACATTTATCTATATTCTAAAACTAAAGTATGCTCTATCCAATGTGAGACAACTAAGTTGACAGCTATCTAAAGATCAGCGGTAGCAATCCAATTACATACAACATGGGGATAGAGAGGCTTTGTAGATAGGCAGAAAGACAGGCAGTACTTCAAAAGTGTTAATTTCCAAAATACGAGGAAAATGATATATACAACTAAAAGGGAGTTCCAACAACACGAGAAAATCTAAGTTCCTGCAAAATCCTTACCAAAAGCTTCATTTTTATGGTAAAGAAGACTTAACCTAAAATTTTGCGATGAAAAAGGAAAAGGAAAAGGAAAAAGAAAAAGAAAGAGAAAAAAGAAAAAAGAAAAAAAAAAGAAAAAGAAAGAGAAAGAGAAAAAGAAAGAGAAAAAGAAAAAAAAAAGAAAAAAAAAAAAAAAAGGAAAGAGAGGGAGAAAGATAGCAAAAAGATAGCAAATAACAATAGATATGAGTGAACACCAGATGGTATAAATCAGGCTAGCCACATCAGAAAGTAAATAAGGTAAAACGAAGAAGCTGTAATAGACGTATGACTATCAAAGAGTAATACAATCAGAAGTATTTTGTGTTAGATTACATGATTGAGGCTTACCTCCATGAGAACTGAGAAGCAATGGCAAGGTGCTCCGATCTCCAAACTCCTACCCTATCTCCTCCCATAGCCATTGGAGGAGAGTCTCCATGGGGACTCAGAAAAGCTGATGGGACACCCTCCCTTGAGCCACCTCAAAGACTAGAGTCTGGACCTGCTGGGCCATGGGCTCACAGTGGGATCTCAGGCAGGAAAATCTGGACATGTATAACGCCTATTACGGGATGTTCAGCGCAAGGGCATAAATGTGGAAAAGGAAGGGAAAAGGGTGGTTGGGGGGAAAAAATGCAAGGAAACAGGGAAATCTGATTGCATATAAACAGATCAACAGCTTGTCCTTTCATGCCCTGCTCCTGGCTAGTGCCATCTGTTCTGTCTCCTCTCCAGTCACCATTTCCCACCCCGTCTGAGAAAGAGGAAGACCTTCTACAAGTGGAGATGGGCCTGAGTACAGGAACACACTTGGGCCCGGGGCCACAGGTCCCCTCATGCAGCCAGCAGATGGAGAGGCCCAAGTGTAGTGCCTTGGGTGCAGGGCCCTGCCTAGCAGCAGGACAAGAAGCTGCTGAAGGCCTGGGAAAGACATGGGAGAGACCAGTGGGTCTACACATTTGCTACTAGAGGGACAAGGAACTCCAAGCCAGGTGCCAGAGAGCCCCTTCCACTTGCATGTGCAAATTAGGATGTGGCAGTCCCCAAGAGTCTGTGATTGATGACAGCAGAGAAGTACCACAAGAAGGAGGTAATAGTTCCGGAGAGAAAGTGGCAACATTAGCCATCAGAAATCTGGAGTGATCAAAATATTTCTGTTCTGAATTTGGAAAGAAGACAACTGAAACAGTACACTGCAACCTACTAATCACCAAGAAAAACGTTAAACATTACCTAAAATAAATAAATAAATAAATAAAAATAAATCATAAATAAAATAACTAAATCTTACTTTTGCTATCATCAGTCTGCTGAAAAACATACAAAATGCATCGGAAGAGCTTTATATATCTTGTTTTTGTTTTTTTTGTATTTCTAAAACAACATAATTTTAGAATGATTTCAGCACCAGGAGGTTGGAAGAAACAGTTCACCAATATTCAAAAAGAAAAACATTCAGCAGTGGTGACCTGGATAGACTGCCTAGCCAGACATCAACCCCAAGTAAAATTACAGAAAAAAAAAAAAAGAAATAAGATTCAACAGAGAATAAGATTAAAGGAGAGAACAAGAAACAGTAATAATCATGTTATAGAAAATTAATCAAGCCAATGAAATCTCTTTAAAGAGGGAAATCAGGTTATTTTTTGTCAACGAAGGTAGGTTCAGACACCAACTTTCTTGGATTTTTTGTAGCTTTTATTTTAGCACTATAGAACATTCTGATTAAAATTAACACTGTAGAATATGCCACACATTAGATGATCTAACAGTCAGTTTGGGCCAAGAAGTAGTTGTCAGGTGATGAATGCTGCCGATAAATGTTTTTTTGCAAAGGAGTCTTGCAATAGCTATAGTCTGCCTATAGCTCAGATCCTATTCAAAGTTTTCCTTAATGAACAAGAATATAAAGAAAATCAGTGACATTCAATTAAATCTGCATCCAAGTCAAAGATTTATGGAAGAGTTAATAGCAGTCAGAAGAGAGCTGACTTGGGAATATAAATTGACTTAGGAATACTTAAATAAAATGAGCATAAATACACACAACTCAGTAGAATCTGTTTAAAAGAAAGAGAGCATGTGCCACCTATAGATGTGGTGCAGATCAGGGATAGAGGTAATTCCAAAATAGCTTCTGTAGGGACACCCAGCAAGCAATACAATATCTGCTCCTTCAATAATGTTGTAGGAGGATGAGCAATTATAATTTTCTGGACATAGAAACAGTAGAAGCAGGATAGATGTTGGCAAGCTGCCAATAGGTTTTAGTAACAAAATTTTGAGAAGAACATTAGAAAACTGAAGACAGTGAAGAACAGGGTCACAAAAAGTTGATTTCGAGAGCTGAAGGAAGTACAGTAAAGTGAAAAACTTTAACAGCTCAATCTGTTTAGCTTTAGAGACAGGCAGCTGAATGACTAGATTACAGTATTTATACTTTCAAACAGACAAAATAGGGAACTTAAATGGATTCTTTAATCTAGCAAAGATAAAATAAGAACCAAAGCTAGAAATGAAGCAGAGTATGAAATGAGGCATCAATTTGTAAATGCAAGAACGACTAGACACTGGAAAAAGTATAAAGAAAAGTTCACTGTCATAATGTGATGTGTTCAAATCACAAGTAGATGCCTTTGTGGAACACATTGCTTTGACAGAGAAGTTATTTTTTAAATCAATGTGTTCAGCTAATAGCCAGCCTGGGAATTAAATCCATAGAAACTTCTATTTGGCCTGCAGCTCCCTTCTCAGAAAAGGCTGGCTCCCCGGCTTGGATAGCAGCCTTCCTGTTTATGATTTTATTCCCCTGCTTCTCCAATTGCAGAAGCTCTGTTTCGTTACTGCAGGAGGGAGAATTCTGCCATCTGTCGCTGCCCATAGAAGGTTTTAGTTGATCAGTCAGTGTGCAGGGTAAGCAGAGATCCTTGCTGCTGTCAGGAGGAGGAAGAGTCTTGGAACACGCCCTAGTCCTGTGGCTATTAAGGTCATACTGCTTTACCTCTAGTGAGTTATTGAACTTCTAATGAGTCTGGCATAGGTATTTTAACTCAAGCCTGATAAAGCAGCAGCCTTCCTAGCATTAGAAGTGTGGTCACTTCCTATATCAAGGAAAAAAAGCTAATTCTCTTCGAAAGGCTCTTGGAAAGTACATGTCCACCTAACTTAGATACCTACAGCTAGGCAGAGAGGATGAATTTCTGGAAAAAAAGTTTCATTGCTCTCCACTGACTAGGCAGAATGACATGAACCTTAGAAAGGTGATTTGTCAGACACTAGTTAGAACACAAAGGTACACAAAGTTGGAACTCGAAAGCAGAGAAATTGCATTTGATTGCAAAGTTACTTGACAGACTACTTAGAAAATACAGAGAGTTAAGCAATTTGATTTAATTCTTCACATTCTTTTAATCTTTCATAAAGCAGAGAACAGAAATCAGCTGTAAGTGCCAGAACTCCATTTACTTCCTCAGAGTAAAGTGTAACAACCTGGAAAAGCATGGGGAGATGCTTCCCTCCATCCCAGAGTATCTCTTCATCTGGAACACTCTCAGCAAATAGGGACTGCTCTTGCCTGGATAGTGGATATAAAAAAAATAGAATCCTTTAGGTTGGAAAAGACTTACAAGATCATCAAGTCCAACCATACTACAATCATAGATGTATCCATCCAATGGATTGATTCCACTGACATGAGAATGACTCTCAATAGGATGCTGATCATTCCTTACTGATGAAACCATAATTAGATTAAAATTTGACCATGGTTGGAAAGTTGGTCTTCCCCCCGCCCCAGAGACAGAAGTCTGGACCTTTGATTTAAGACCTGTATTGATTTCTCTTTTCCTTAATTTTGCTTTGTTTCACTGATTTTGTTTTGAGTTTGGTTATTTGATCGTTACGGCATTTGAAAGTGTTGAGAGGGAGGAAGAGAAAGATTTGCACCAAATTTGTAAATTTAAGTTTTGTTTTAGGAAGAAACATTGTAGATACATACTTTTGATTTTTTGAAGTATTCTTTTTGTGTGTAAAAAAAATGTCAAATTCAACTATGTTTATGACATCTCCAGAAACTAGCAGTTCTCTGCAATATTCTATTAACAAACATTTTTGAGGAAGAACAGTGTTTCAACTAAATATCCATAAAAGCCAGGGCTTCCATGCATGAACAACAGTATTTGTTACACACTACTCACCTTACACTATTTAGACACGCCATCAAGAAACATGTGACACAGAAACATAGCTACTGAACAACGCAATGGATCACGATATAGTCTTTTTCTTAGTTCAAGCTATCCAATAAGTATTTATGAATGTTACACATACTCCTGTGCTCAGAAATTGTTTACAAATGATTTGTGAACAGAAAGAAAAAAAAAGAGATAAATCTGCAATGCATATACATTTTGCAACAACCCATTCAATTCATATTATGTCTGAGAAGATTTTTGAGCATTACCTACTCATTATATGTTTGAAAGAACATATTTTATTTGCAAGTGGTCCATCCAAGAAAAAAAATAATTCGGCACCATGAAGTAATTTAGGACATGCTTTTGTATTTAAGGTGTTTAGGAGAATATCTAAACACCCTCACAATTCTAAAATATGTTTCATTGTCCAAACAGCGCTGAGATTTAAGCTGACTCATAAGTGTTAAGCAATCAATTATTGTAGACACAGCTTCAAATATGCTTCCATTTTGTCTGGTTGAATTACAAATGAGTTATTTCATTAGCAGAATTATTATTTTGGGATGAACTCCAGAACATTAAAGCTTTACATTTAACCTCTATTACAGCCCAGAATTGAATTAACCTCTCTTTCTCATATAAAAGTAGCTAATGCACTTTCCTTGTAAAATGCAAATGTCATTATACTATGTTTCACAGAAAGCACTTAGAAAAATTCAACGGAATTATGGTTCACAATATTTCAGTGCATTCAATTAAACCACTACATTTTAAGGAAATTAGTTTATTTTCCTTCCTATCATTGAATACTGACGCTTAGAATAACAAGCTAAAATATCATATTAGTTTCTCAAGGCTGAAATTCAGTGTTACTCTAACACATATTATATGCAAACACAAAGGCATACATTGGAAGTTCTGTATTCATTGCAGTTAAGAGAATAAATTGAGTCTTTTGCTAAAATATTCAGAATCTTTTAAAAATCTCTTTGGGCTTTATTTGTTGTTGATTGTTTTATTTTTGCCATTCAGAATTAGAAGAAAAAAAAATAAGCGAAATAATACATAAATTGGCATGTTACTGGGAGCAGGCTGAATTAAATTCTTCTAATATATATGAGGGCTGCTCTGAAAATAAAGCCTCCTATTTTATTACGTTGGCCCATAACATCAGAAGCAGATATTGATGGTATGGCAGTGGAGGTTGAATCTTCCCACCAGTATTTCATTATATGTAGTTGCCATGTGACAGATGGCAGCAGAGGGGCAATCTGACAAAACAGCATCTGACACGGAAGTGCAGATGAAGAAAAGGTGTGCCACTGAATTCCCTCCATGTGGGAAAAATGCTACCCACTGACATTCATCAACATCTGCTGAACATTTATGGATACCAAACAGTAGATGTAGGTGATGTGTTCCAGCAGCAGCAAGTCACCTCCATTTGTACTGATTTTTATGAGTGTGTTATGCAGGCTCTTGTTCTTCACTGTCTAAAATGAATAACTAATGGTGGCAACTGTGTTGAAAAAAGAGAATTGTAGCTGAGAATTTCTCTATCAAACAGCGTTGTTGTGCTCTTTGTATCTGTTGTAGTTCCCATAGAAATAAACAGGAGGATTACTTTTGGAGTGAACTATGTAATATTTACTAGTTCAAAGAAGATTTTTATGATCGCAATATTCAGCTCTATTCTGAATGAGAATAGAAGACCTCTACATGTACCACAAAGAAAAACTGTGGAAAGATCCCACAGCAATTAGTCATTTCATTGCATCCATTTCATTTTAATACCAAAGCATTTCTTCAAAACAGCAAAACAGGGAAAGACAATCACTGTGGCAAGACAAAATTTGTAAGTTAGATGGAAAAAAAAAAAAAAGTACCATTGGTATATATTAAAAAGTATCTAAGGAAGGTCAGACAAATATTCAAAAGTTGTTCATGGTCAGTTTTGCATACTCATTAAAATCAGAAAGAAAATTAGTAGGGATATTGACACAGACTGTCAGATACTTCTACCTGTCCAACAGATAATTAAAGGATATATATATTGTGATCTCTTTCAAGTTTATCCCTCACATTAAAACACAGCTCTTACCATTCTGACAAGACTTTTAAGGGGAGTCAGTCTGTAAATCTTAACTGTTTGTTTTCTCCTGGGGGTCTTTTGCACTTGTTTTCAACCATTCATCGGAGGTAGCTTTTAATTATGAGCCAAGATTCAGAGCCTTGTATAGACAGACCTTACACTGTCCATAAATTTTGAGATTTCACAACCATCAGACAGACTCTCTAAAAGCCTTTATGAGAAAATATGGTTTAGGACAGAGACAGCTGGTATTTAAATTATCCATGTGAGAGAAATTACTGTTATTCATTCACCAGATGCTTTATTCATGTATAGATTTTTAAATTAATAATTCCATAATACTTACAGCTATGTAATCCTAAAATCCACACAGTTTTGCTCAATGACCTTAACAAGCTTTGATATCTTTTTTATTTCTTGCAAACACAGCAGCAGATTTTGCCAACTGCCACTGTGATGGAACACTACACCAGATGAAGGAAAAAATGTCATCATCCACTGACAAGGCAAGTTGAGTTCATCAAACTGTTATTTCTGCCTGTACACTAGGTGTAGGCTCCAAAATCATTTAACTAGGAGAAACATTTAATCCCATACAATGTCATGAAAAACAAAAATGTCAGAAAAACAGTCCCATGCAATGTCTAACCCTACATCTCACAAAATATCGTGTGATATATTTTGAAACCCAGTAACCAAGAACTATCTGGAGAGTCAGGGAAACACTTCACATCTATTGGCATCAATTGGACAACAAGAAATTTGGGGTGGAAAAAATTGGAAATAAGATGTTTTGATGGAATATTCAGGGAGATGATCTTAAGCCTTGTGAATGCTAAAGAGATAGAAATGCAACCAGGTTCTTGTTTATTTAATTCCCTGGAAAATAAATCTGTAACATTGAGGCACACCATTGTTCAAAAAAGTTTTATGCAATCAACATCCTATTGTTTTTCCTTGCAACCTTGAAAATTATTTTTCCTGCTCTCTTCTTACTGCTGGAAATTACTGCTGTAATTTCAACATCCTAGTCATTACAGCTTCCTTCTTTCAGGCCTCGTCTATATTTTTAGTCATCTTGAAACATGCTATATTTCTTCTTCACTTTGAATCCCTGCACTGGTTAAGTTCAACTTTTTGTGAAGTTCATAAGCTATGTTTCGTCTTTGGAAGCACAACACAACTCCATTAGTCACCTCAGCACTCCTCTTATTTCCTCTGGTCTTGTGTTTCTCTCACATATTCACGTTGTTTTTTGTAAAAGCCATTCCACAGTCATTACCTGTCTTCAGCAAAATTCTACTTTAATGTATTTGTCCATAAGAGGTTTACCAGAAATGATTATAATATTAAAACCAAATTTGAATTGGAAAACTACTCCAACTTAGAACTTCATCTGTATGTTATACGCTTAATATCCCTGTCACATCTAAGCAGTAAGCTCCTTAGCCGCTAGTTTTCTTCTAACCATGCCAAAAGCAATAATAATAAATGAGTTCCAGTTCTCCTTCCAGTTTCTTAACACAAAGTTTTCTCCCCAGGCAGGGTTTTCAGAAGGACAGGCTCCTGAGACTGAAGGCTCCAGTGACAAGTTTCACTACTGAAAGGCTTAAAAACATATGGCTGGTACTGGTAGAATAAGGTATTTTCTGGTTAAGTTTGGTTTTGTGTTTTTCAGGGCTTTACATGACAACAATGGTCTTAAAGATGTTTAAAGGCAAAGGCTAATATGAAGTAGTCCAAGGATCACATAAAACTTATCAATCAATACCTATCCTCGGAGTATAGAAAAAAATAAAGCTGGAGAGAGCTCCTAATTTTAGTATTCTGGATCACATGGGACACAGCCAAATCCTCAGGTGGCTGCTATGGATTTTAGAAAGACAGAGCAGTAATAGGAGTCTCAAGCTGTAGAGATAGACAGCACACTGTCATGAGGATAAAAACAATCTTTGGGACTACCAATGGCTGCAGTGCCATTCTCCAGCCAGCTTACACTGGCCGTGACCCATCATTTGATCAAGACTTTCACTGCTCTTCCAAGTCACTCCACGGATAAAAGATAATTGATAACTCCACGGATAAGTTTTTAACTGAACATTCAAAGCAGCTGCTATAATATGAGAACACTCCATGCCCGATAACTGCCAGTTTTCCATCAGAAGGCCTGTATGAACCTTGATGTCTCTGAGCCTCTGTGATTCTAGTGTAAGCCAACTGAACACACACCTTCCTCCGAAGTCCTCTCAAATTTTTGTAGCTGAGAATCAACTCCAGTACATCTGC